GTTGTAAAACCAGAAATAACATTTTTAAAGTCATCAACCCTTTGCCTGCCATTTATGCCCGAAATGACTTTCGTGTTTCAGTAATGAAGGAGAAATTATAACTCCTGCGTCTTCTTTAAAACTGAAGAATTTGGGTTGCTTTATTTCACAAGCGAATAAAGCTATAACAGTAGAAGAAGGCATTCATTGTGACGTCTGATGTTGCAGGATGTTCGGCATGAAGAGATGTGCGCGATGTCAAGCCGCCATCTTGTTCACCGAGATGGTGATGCGCGCGCGTGACCTCGTGTTCCACGTGCACTGCTTCACGTGCGCGGTTTGCAACTCGACCTTCAGCAAGGGTGACCAGTTCGGCTTGAAAGACAGCTCCGTGTTGTGTCAGATCCACTACGAGCTGGCTGTGTCCGAACAACATCAGTCGCCTTCATCTGCCACCTTCCCTGGCGGCGGGGGTGGGGGTGGCTCTTACCCGCCTCCGTTTCCATCCCCCGAGTTTCACGCCCATCATCATCCACCGGCCGCCACACCGGTCTGCCCCGACGGCGCGGTCGGCACCAAAGCGCCCTACTTCAATGGCTCGACCACGGGGACCACGCGACAGAAGGGACGGCCCAGGAAACGGAAACCGAAAGACTTGGAGACCATGACTGCGAACCTAGGTACGTGGCCGTCTTGACTCTCTGCCTTTTATTTATTTATTTAGTGTTCTGTCTGGCGACAGGTCCTTATGAACAGGATCCTTCCATCCTTTTCTCGGACTGGGACCTGTTCATATACGTTCTTGGCAGATGATCCAGAAGTGGTTTGCCATTGCCTTCTTCTGGGTGTGAATGGAGTAATTGTTGGGATGCCACGGAGAAAACTCAGTGTTGCCTAGACCACGGCCTTGCCCAACACAAGTTATAAATTCGGGCACCGCCGGGAATCTAACCCGAGACCCCAGGATTACAAGGCCAGTGTTCTAACCGCTAGACCACCTCATCTTAATATTATTTAGTGTTCTGTCTGACGCCAGGTCCATATGAACAGGATCCTTCCATCCTTTTCTCGGACTGGGACCTGTTCATATACGTTCTTGGCAGATGATCCAGAAGTGGTTTGCCATTGCCTTCTTCTGTGTGTGAATGGAGTAATTGTTGGGATGCCACGGAGGAAAACTCCGGGTTTCCTAGACCACGGCCTTGCCCAACACAAGTTATAAATTCGGCCACCGCCGGGAATCGAACCCGAGGCCCCAGGATTACAAGGCCAGCGTTCTGACCGCTAGACCGCCTTTACGTATCTTTTATACTTTCAGTCGATATTTTTACTTCTCTGTGCTTTCTTCATCTCTTTTCAGTTCCTCATTCGCTGCATGGGGCAGAATCATGGTAGCTCAGCTAGTCACTAAATGTTATGCCTTTTATAGAACGCACTTTTCCATTACCATAGTTACAAGAGCTTATTTTTCACTGTTCGTCAACCTCCTGATTCTCCTCTACGTCCGATTCTCAAACACCCTCAGTCTGTGTGAGATATGGGGTTCTTACAGTTTGAGAAGCTCATGGTAGCTCAGCTAGTCAGTAAATATTATGCCTTTTATAGAAAGCACGTTTCCATTACCATAGTCACAAGATGTCTGTGTGAGATATGGGGTTCTTACAGTGGCGAAAATGAAGTTGTTCTGGGTTTTGACGTCGTATGGACTTGTAGATAGTCACTCACATTTAGGAGAAACATAGTGTCAACATATTCTGGTCCGACGATGCCTGACGGGGCCACACGGCGTCATAACCAATCCGTGTTCTTCCCTTAGTCTGAAATGTCCAGGTTTCACACCCAAATTAAATAGTAGGTTACGTAAAATAATGTTTTTTTTTTACAAGTGGGCTGTTTTAATGTTTACGTCTTCAGATATGGAGAAAGGCAAAAGATTAGTAACAGAATGGTACCAAGCGCTTCCTAAATTGAATCTGCTCTTTAATATCTTTGTTTTCCTTCTGTTCTTAGTCAACTTTTTTGTCTTAAATCTTTTTATATCTCTTGTTTCATCCGATACACGTAGCCTAGTGACGCCGCGTGAACTCTGTGCTTACTAAGCATGCTTTCTTACTTTCTGTGTCAGGAACACTTCATTCATGCCTGTGCGCTGTTGACACCAAAAACACTCTTCTTGTCGCCCTGTCGTACACTCGGTGAACACAGAGGAACAGAAGAAACTGAGCTCATTCAGTCATGAGATACGAGCGCCTCCTCACGCTCCAAACCTGTCAGGCATGGGTGTCCAAACGATTCATTTTATATTTTATTTAAATCCATCAACAGTCTTATTATACAGGGTGATCTAGAAGTCACGCAACCCATATTAAACTAGTTATTGATGGTCTCATGAATTTATAAACAGACAATGTCGCTGTGACTATGTAGAAGCCAAGTCTGTTAATTTTCTTCAAATATTCGTAGTGCAAGGTATTCTTTTGCTAGTGGAACGGGTGTTCGTTGTCGAACACCTCCAACTTTTGATATAACATCGTTTTGATTTCTGAGTGAAGACGCCTCAAAACTAGCAGCAAAGCTAACAACGCCGTATTAATGATTTCGACCAGCGCGGTAAGGGTGATGAAGACATACCGTGACCTTGAACCATGCCATTTGGTGACGGCTACTGTAGTTGATCTGTAGCGAAGGAATTATTGGAGACCCGAAATTCTAGTGAGGGACCATCTGAGAATCAAGCACGGAAACACAACTATATTCCATGTAATTTTTTAATCTCCAGTCTATTTAGATACTGAATATTTGCTAAATTGTATACGGATTCGTGTTAAACTATTTTCTATTGTGAGAAATTAATGAAGGAGAAAATTTTCGAGGACCTGAGTAATCTTCGTTCAAATTTGTATCCAGAAACAACCGAGAAGACAACCATCTTTTGTACTTACTGCCCTGATGATGGAGGCAGCAAGAACCTATGAAATGTTGGTAACCTCTGCCAGAAGGCAGCCTCCATCGCGTGTTTTTCATGTTTTCAAATGTGCATAAAATCTTTCTTAGGAATAATCAGTTCTTGGATTGTAATAAATTGGCGTCCTGGCAACACCCCTCGGTCCGTGTCAGTTGTTCCGGAGTCGAGGCGTACGTACTGTCGTGTGACGGACCGAACATGACGAATCGAATGGCAGGAGCGTGACGATTCGCTGGAGCGTGGCGTTGGAGCTGCGAGGCACGCGGCAAGATCTCGCCCGCAGGGTTGTCAAACCCGTGTTCTTCTGGTTCCAGGTCCTACACGTATACAGTTCCACCCACTTTACCCCTTAAAAAAAGGCACAGTTTTTAATCGTTTACATCATTGGTTTATCTGTAAGTAACTCCACATTTTTTTTATTTATAATTTTCTTATGATTCTCGCGTTTGTTTCCTTAAACAACATTAAGAAACTGATCTTTGTAATTGGGATGTGTTGTGGTTTCTTTACGGTAAGACCTAAATCTTTAAATAATAATTATTTAAATGATATTCTGATTAAAATAACTGACAGTAGTAGCAGAGCTCTTCTTGAGAAGTTAGTAGTCTCTTAACTGATCAATAAATTACTCGACAGTAAACAAACCCTGAAGTTAATTACCTTCTTCGCAAGAGCCCGCTGTTCCCGGGAAAAGACCCCAGTACCCATTGAATAGGAGGCTGGGTGGGCCCCAGAACCAGTCTGGACTCAGAGGCTAGAGAAAAAACCCTCTGCCCCGTCGGAGATCGAACCCCGGCCGTCCAGTCTGACTGAGCTACGCCGGCTCCCGAAATTTAGTTGGAGAACCTAAAAATAGATGGAGGATAATGCATAAACTAGGTCTTAAATGGTATAGGAGGGTGTAGATTGGTTTAATCATCACCGGGATATTGAATATGGTTTCATAAATGAGACGAACTTTGTTCCATGGACTTCATAGGAGTCTAATTAAACAACGATCAAAATTTTTGGCGGCCAGCGTTAATAAAGCCGCGTGATCCTTGCAGGTACTTTGATCACTGGCGGTAAACACTTTACCAGCGAACCGGCTGATGGTTAAGTTCGTGTATTGTATAGCTAGTACTAATATTGGCCATAAAATCTCAGATTTATTGCTAACTTGTTTAGTGGTGTGACGGAAATCATTCAACTTAACGAAGAGAATGAACACAGAAAACGTATATCAGTGTTATTAATAAAAACTACACGTTTACTGTTTTATTGCGTTTATTTTTGGTGTGTAGTTCCAACGGCTGTCCGGTTATTAAGTGTCCAGAGACCAACAGCAATTACATTGAGCAGAGAATCCACTCTCTGTCTCAGTGTCAAGTTTTATTATTTATTTATATATTTGTCTCTGTCGACGAGTATGAAGGTGGCTCTGTCTTCAAAGTTGTTGAACAGTGTGGTTTGGTTGACGTTTACGGACGTTTCAGAGGTGCCCTTATAATGAAGGCAGCAAACACCTGTGAAACGTTCTTAAACTTCTACCAGATTACGCGGGGCAAGAAGCCGGAAGACCCCTCCACTGTTAGAGCCCGAAATCTCGGCTAATTAATTGTTTATTAATAAATGAATTGTCGGGGTTTTATAAAAGACAAAAAAAAATTATCACATTAGCAACTGCCAGCTTCTACACGAAGGTCTATGCTCTATGGAGTATGTTGGTTACTAACACGATTTCATGGAAAGGAGCGTCATGAGGCGACGAGCAGACAGACACAGGAACGAGTTGTGTTTTTTTTATTGTAGTGTTTCGTTTTATATCACCTTAGCTATAAACACGTGATGATATCGCACTCAATTGTTACACCTTTGGGCACAAGAACGTGTAAAGGCCGCCTTCCTTACCTTGGCGCCACTGTTCCTTGTGAAAGAGTGCACTTGACGTCCGCTATAAAGCTTCACGATTCTTAGTGTTTGTGCTCTCTCGTTTATTTTACAGCTGTGTGTATCTTAGGGCCATAGTAAGGGTGGAAATGTCTAGCAACAATTCTTTTTTCACTTTGTTGTTCTATCAGCAGGCGGTATTTTTTTTTTTACGATTGAATCATTGGCTTGAAGTTACGATGGAGTTATGCAGCGGCAGCTTTGGAGCAGATTCTTTTTTTTATTCTTTGTTTCTGTTAACTTTGGGTTTGCGTATTAAAACATGATTACGTCGTAAATGAAACAAAAAGGGTAATAAAATATGTGCATCATGTCGTCACTGGCGCATTAAGATACAGGCAACGTTACTAGACTTTAACTTAGGATGAAAGACTTCGAATCTAGGCTTTATTATTCAGAATGAAGGCTCTAAAACTTGTTCCAGGCTTGTTTGAATTCTGAAGGTTTATTGCATGTAGCATGTGACTCTCTCTCACATTAAAATATGAGTAGCTGTGATAACTCTGTCAGTAAAGTGATTAGCTGGACGGCCTGGGTTGGATTCTTAGTGATCACACTCAAGTTTCCGTGTATATAATACCTAAAAACTGTTTTGCCTGGGTTAGAGCTGCCGAAACGTCGAGGTAACTGCTCAACTCTATTGGTGCCGGTGACCCTTCACACCTGTTTGTGATGTTGGGGGCTCAGGGACAGTTTGGCCTGTGGACGTATCTTTGTGTGAGGTTTTGTTGGATTGAAATCTGATATACGCCACTGACACCCTTCCTCTTAAATCCTGTTTGTAGC